CCCCCCCCCCCCCCCCCCCAAATCCATCCATCCATCCAGTGGACTTCTTTTCTGGCTTGTGTGACTGCTCATTTTACTTAGTATTTCTGGAAATAGCTTTGAAAATTCAGTTACTTTCATGAGAAGAGGTAACTTTCTATTAAGTGGCTATCTAAAATGGTTTCATTTTCACTTCTTAGTTGTTTTTGTAGTTTATTTTTCTTAGAGTAGAAATTTAGTTCCGTTTTGCTGAATAGCTACGTGTAAATTGTAACTATATATGTTTATACCAACCTACTTCCAACAAGAATCTAAACCAAACACATTTTGAGAGGCCAGCATCAACTAAACAGACAGAGATAGTGCAAGAAAAGATAACTATAAGCCAGTGTCTCTAATGGGCATTGATGTAAAAATCCTCAATAAAATATTAGCAAACCGAATTCAGCAACACATCAAAAAGATTAAACATCATGACCAAGTGGGATTTATCCCTGGCATGCAAGACTAGTGTAATATATGCAGAAAATCAATGTTAACATGACATTAACAGAATGAAGGATAATAACCATATAATCATCTCAGCTGATGCAGAAAAAGCATTTGACAAAGTTTAGCTTCCTTTCTTGATAAAAATCTGTCACCAGTTTAGGAATAGAAGGATAGTTTCTCAACATAATAAAGGCCATTTATGAAAAACCACAGCTAACATAATCTATACGAAACAACTCAAAGCTTCTCCAGTGAGATCTAGTACAAGGCAGGGATGCCCACTGTTACTTCTATTCAACATAATACTGGAAGAGCAAACAGACAAGAAAAAGAAATAAAAGATATACAAATTGGAAAAGAAGAAGTAAAATTATCTCTATTTGCGGATGACACTTTCCTATATATACAAAGTCTCAAAGTTTCCATAAAGAACTGTAAGAACTAATAAATGAGTGTAGTAAAGTTGCAGGATACAAAGTCAACATACAAAAATCAGTAGCATTTCTATACACATGACCTACCTAAAAAAGAAATCAAGAAATAAATCCTATTTATGATAGTATTTAAAAAGAGTGAAATAATTAGGAATAAATTTTCCCAAGGAGGTAAAAGATTTGTACACTGAAAACTATAAACATTATGAAAGAAACTGAAGACAAATAATAGAAAGATACCCTGTGTTCATGGATCAGAAGAATTAATGTTGTTAAGATGTCCATACTACCCAGAGCAATTTATCCGAGTTTAACATAATCTCTAAGAAAACTCCAATGACATTCTTCACAGAAGTAGGAAAAACAACCCTAAAATTTATGTGGAACCACAGAAACCCCAAATAGCCAAAGCAATACTGAGAAAGAAAAAGTTGGAAGGCATCACACTTCCTGATTTAAAATTATATTACAAAGCTATAGTAATCAAAACAGTATGGTACTGGCATAAAAACAGAAACATAGACCAGTGGAATAAAATAGAGATCACAGAAATAAATCCAACCATATATGGTCAACTAATTTTCTAGCAGGACATCAGGAGGGCATAATGGGTAAAGGATAATCTCTTCAATAAATGTGCTGGGAAAACTGGATTTCCACATGCAAAAGAATGAAATTGGACTCTTATACCATACACAAAAATTAACTCAAAGTGGATAAAAGGCTTAAATGTAAGACCTGAAATTAATAAACTCCTAGTAGAGAATGGAGGGGAAAAGGTATTTGACATTGGCCAGGGCCATGATTTTTTGGATAACACACCAAAAGTACAGGCTTCAAAAGCTAAAATAATGGGACTACATCAAACTGAAAAGCTTCTGCACAGCAAAGGAAACAAAATGAAAAGGCAGCTTAAGGACTGGGAAAAAATATTTGCAAACCACATCTGATAAAGGGTTAATATACAAATTTTATTAAGAACTTTTATAGCACAATAGCAGAAAAACAAATAACCTGATTAAAAAGTGGGCAAAAGGAGCTGAACATACATTTTTCCATAGAAGACGTAAAAATGGCCAACAGATATATGAAAAGGTACTCAGAATCACTAGTCTTCAGGGAACTGCGAATTAAAACCAGTAAGAGATGTCTCCTCGCACCTGTTAGGATGGCCATTATTAAAAACGAGAGATAATAAGTGTTGGCGAGGGTGTAAAAAAAGGGAACCCTAGTACACTGGTGGTGGGAATGTAGATTGATTCAGACATTATAGAAAACAGTATGGTGGTTCCTAAAGAGATCAAAAATAGAACTACCATATAATCCAGCAATCCCTCTTCTAGGTATATACCCAAAGGAGATGAAATCACCACCTCCTGAAGATATGTTGACTCCAATGTCATTGCAGTGTTACTCACAATAGCCAAAATATGGAAACAACTTAAGTATCTGTCAATGGATAAAGAAATGTGGTATATACACAATGGAATATTATTCAATCTTAAAAAAGAATGAGATTTTGTCACAACATGAATGAACCTGGAGGATATTATAAGAGAAATAAACCAGACACAGAAAGAAACATATTGCATGATCTCACTATTTGTGGAATCTTAAAAAAATCATAAAAAGGTATACAGAGATAGAGAATAAAACCAGTTGCCCTGGGTGGGGGGAGAAGGCATAATAGGGAGATGTAGGTCAAAGGATACAAGGTAATAGCTATGTAGGATGAATAAGTTCAGATCTAATGTACAACATGAAGATGATAATTAATAAAATTGTACTAGGGTATTTAATTGAATAAATAGATTTCAGCTGTTTTTGTCATCAAAACAAGTAACCATGTGAGATGATAGATATATTAATCTGCTTCACTGTAGTAACCATTTTACTATCTATATATAGTATCCCATAACATACTGTAAACCTTAAATACACAAAATAAAATTTATTTTAACAAAAAGAATCTAAAGCAGTTTTTAAAAGAATATAGCTACAGTAGTAACAAAGACTTTTAAAAGAAAAGATCTAAGTAATAAATGTTGAAGGGAGAGGAGGGAGAAAAATAACAGAAACCCATACAAAGTAAATTTGCTGAAGTTGAACATAAAAACTTTGTTTTGTGGTCTGTAACAAAACAAACTCTTTCAGTTTTAAGGATGACACATCCTTTATTTTCACTAATCTCCCAGTAAAGAGCTTGGTGAGAGTTATGTGGTCGGTGATAAAGAAGCAAAAGTGCTTCAACAAGTCGGTACTATTAATTAAGTCATATTCCTTCCTGTTCTGGATCTCTTTTCATATGGTCTACGGGAAATAATAAGTAAACTTATTCCCACTAGCCCATTGAACTTTAGAGTTGTACGTTATTCTGTTTCTTTGAAGGGTGTTGATAAAATAGACCCATGACATTTAGCTTCTTATTTAAGCTATTTGGAGCAGCCTCATTGTTGAAACCAACTGGTCAAACTTGTTGTATTGCTTAGCCTTCATCACTGAGGGGGAAGGCAGAGGGTCCTAGAAGTGGAAGATGGGTGAGGGACGACTTTGTTTTATTTTGTTTTTATTGACACTTAGAAGCTTCCAGGAAATATTTGTTAGCTAGGTGTCACAAATGTAATTAATGAAGTAAGAGTAAAATGAGAAATTATCATAAAAAGGAAAAGAAGCCAGGCATAAGGAGAATATGGAAAAGAAGATAGGCAAGGAAAAGTAAAGTGTGAATAAGCATAGTTCACATTGCGCAGTGTAATCTGTAGTTGCCATTTATTTCAGCTGTAATCCACAGTAAATTGTGTTTAGTGACAGGATTTGGCTGGTACTTGATGGTAAAACTAGTGTTTCCTAATAGTAGAAAAATTAAACCACCAAGCAAAGAAGATGAAAATCAAGTTTTGTGAGGAAAAATTTAGGAATAGAAAAACTGACTTTTTTTTTTTTTTTTAATTTTTATTTTGTCAATATACAATGTATATGATTATTATGGCCCTTCACCGACACCTCCCGCCCTAGATTTTTTTTTTTTTTTTTTTTTTTTTGTCAATCAATCAAGACATAACTTTATTTTATGTGTGTTTACATTTATTTTTTTTATTTTTTATTTTTTTTTTTTATTTTGTCAATATACAATGTATATGATTATTATGGCCCACCACCGACACTTCCCGCCC